GCGGAGCATCTCCCCATGGGATGCTGGGATTGGATCAGCCCTGCAGGGACACTCAGTGGCCATGGACAGCAGAGATCTCCTGGAGGGAGGGTTGGCTGTGGGAGAGATAAAGATAAAACTGCCCCATGGACAGAGAGAACTGCCCCAGCTCTGACAGGTGGCAAATAGAACACACACCCCCATTTCCAGCCCAAGACACATGCAAATCCCTCAGCACTGTGGCTCTGGAGAGCAGAAAATTCAGATTTGTTGATGCATCTCCAAGCTTGTTTGCATTTCTTTCACTTTTCTCAGCGTTTCTCTTTTTGGTTGGGGTTTTGCTGCTTCCCACAGCTCCTCTGTGCATTCTCTCCCTTTCCTGATCTTATCCCTCTCCTACAAATGTCATGCTCATGAGGGTCAGGTCAGGGAAAAGCTGCTCATTTTTTAGGAAATATCCACAATTTAAAAGCCCCCCAACCAATGTGATGAGATGAAGGCCACAATACTTCAGTGTCTGAGCTGAAATGTGTTGGTTTCGATGTGTTCCAAGGTGTTTTAAAGGTGTTGGAACTTCTTACCTGCTTGGTGCCTGTTGTCACTGAAAATTTAATTAATATAGGCCATTTTCTCCTGAATTTCCTAATTCTGAGTTGTTTCAGGGAAGGAAGAAATTGTCTGGAAAAGAGAGAGGCAGTTTTGGGAGATAATTTTTGCACAGTAGGAGAGGTGGGGAGCCAAAGGGGAGCCAGCACTTTGATAGAGATACAAAGAAAAGATAAATCAACATTTTATTATGAGAATGAATAAAAATCTGCATGCCAAAAATACAAGGCAAGATAGCCAGTTGCATGAAATGAATTTATGAAAGAAAGGATTGGTTGAAATTGAAATTTCTAGGAAGGAGGGTTGCTAGCAAGTCATCAATCTCTTCCTTACTCGTCTTAATTAAAAACAGCCACAAAGCTTTGGTGTACCCAGACTGGGGGACTGCTAATTAACTGCATTTTGTGGCTTTATGGGGACTTTTCTCTCACTGTGGATTCTCTTTTTTTCACTTTTCCTGATGCACATTGTGGATATTTGATAACACCAGCTCTTGCAGCAAGGGTGGCTGGTTGCTTTCGGTGGTTCTTCTGCAGGATACCAACCTTAACCCTTGTTTTTTCCCATTTCCATGAGCATTTTCACCTCTAAGCAAACATCCTGAGCTCCATTGTAGGAGCCTTCCACATTTCTTTCCCCTAAAAATGATTTCTTGCCTGTGTCCCCCTGCCACATCCAGCAGCTGGGGCAGGGGGACACATTTTGGCAACTAATACAATGTGAATTTTTAAATCTTTTAATTTTTGAGTAAGGAGGTTCATTTGGGAAGGGATGTACATGGGTGGGGTCAAAACAGGAAAAAGGGCAGGAAAAAAGGGTGGAGGTTTCTGGAGGGAATAAAGAAGTTTGGAGGATTAGAAGTTGACAGAAGGCCTGGAAATGGGAACATCTATTAGGCTTAATTTGTTTCTTAGGCTTAAAATGTAAGGAATCAGTGGATATTTGTTGTGAATAAATATTATAAATAATAATCAACACTTTGCTTTAATTCTTTTTCCTCCCACAGGTCCCTTGTGAAAGACTCCTCTCCTGTGCCTCTGATGGATGTCACCAATTTATCCACACCTCGGAAATTCCTTGAGACTTCCCAGTTCAGTACTCCTGGAAGCTCCAGCAGTGAGTATTTAAGTATTTAAGCCATATATATTCATTTGTAGATTTTCACCTGATTTTGCTGCAGCAGGAGGAGACAAATCATCCCCTCACGGCTCAGGGGAGACAAAAACCTTTGAGGTGATTTTGCAGTGTCACAGAACGAGTGGGTGCTGTGTCCAGGGGCAAAACTTGGCTTTTTTTACCTCATGGAAAATCATCTTTTCCCTCTCCAGCTTCTTAAACACGCTCAGTTTCCTGTGCCTGTTCTCACCTTGGTGGTGTTCTTGATCTCTTGAGCAGCAGAGATTTGCAGTGGGTTCATTCTGTGTGCTTTCCTCAGCATTATTTACTGCAGGCAGCCAGGTTGGTGGAGATATTACTGAAGTTTTTTTTATTGTGTGGGAGCCAAAAGGTCAAATCTGTTCCTTGTGGGAGCTTTGTAACTTTGACTAAAGGTCTGGCTGTACACAGGAATAATCTGGGGCTGATCTTTTATTCCTGTTACTGAAACAAACAGCAAGGAAAACTCTTTTTCACCGGGGGCTTTTGTCTGAGCTTTTGGAAGGGCTGCAGAGAGGGGAAATTAATCTTTGTATTGTTTCAGGAGATTAATAAGTGGGGTTGTCCTTGATGAATAATACAAAAGTGACCTCCAGTCTCTTCCCCTTTTCAAACCTGACTGTTTCAGTATTCCTCAAATGCAGAGAATATTTCCTTCTCTGCATTAATTCTTTTGTCCTTTTGTTTCTGGTTTTGTCACACTTGCCTCCCAGATTGTTCTGTCTGATTATTCTTATCTTCTGCTCCTGGAGGGGTTTTGTTCTTCAGCTCTGCTCCTGCCAGGCTGGTTCTTGGAGCCTGGGGCTGTTTTTCTGTGTCCTGCAGGTTTGGGAGGAGTCACAAACTTCCAGAGCTG